ATTCCGGCAGAGTTGACAGTCCACAAGCTCAGCACAGACCCCACCAAAAGGCCAGTAGTTCAAAAACGTCGCCTTTTTGGCCCCGAGAAACAAGCTGCCATTGACGAAGAGATACAAAAGTTGTTACAGGTAGGCTTCATCAGAAGAGTGGAGTACTCTGAATGGGTGTCCAACCCTGTGCTCGTCAAAAAGCCAAATGGCAAATGGAGGATGTGCATTGATTTCACCAACCTCAATGACGCGTGTCCAAAAGACCCTCATCCCTTGCCAAACGTCAAGAAGTTAGTAGAATGGGCAACAGGACATGAATGAATGAGTTTTCTTAACGCCAGCTCAGGTTACCACCAGGTCCAGCTGTTGCTAGACGACCAGGAAAAAACAGCTTTTTACGTTGGTGACGCAATCTACTGCTATGTCATGATGCCGTTCGGCCTCAAAAATGCTGGAGCAACATACCAGAAGCTGGTGCAAATCATCTTTAAGCTCCAGATATGCAGAAACATAGAAGTGTATGTAGATGACATGATAGTCACAAGCGTGCGAGCTGAGGATCACATTGACGACCTGGATGAAACTTTTCAAAACTTGTGCCGAGCCCAAATGAAGCTGAATCCCTTGAAATGCACGTTTGCTGTGGAATCAGGGAAATTCCTAAGGTACATGGTATCCAAGAAAGGAATCAAAGTAAATCCAGAAAAGGTACAGGCCGTTCAGTAGATGGAACCTCCCAAGACAGTAAAAGATGTACAGCGTCTGACAGGTCGGGTAGCTGCGTTGCACAGGTTTATAGCCAGATCGGCAGAAAGGTGCATTCCTTTCTTCAAAGCTCTGCCGGAGCCTAAAAACTTTCAGTGGATTGATGAATGTCAACAAGCGTTTGACGAGCTCAAACAATATTTGGCATCCACACCCCTGCTATCCAAGCCTGTCGATGGGAAATGTTTATATCTTTATCTGGGGGTCACAGAAGAAGCAGTGAGTTTAGTGCTACTGAGAGAAGAGAATAAGAATCAGAAGCCTATTTGCTACGTGAGCAGGGTGTTACAAGGTGCCGAGCAGAACTACCTGATAGCAGAAAAGGCTGCTTTTGCTTTGGTCTACATAGCTCGTAAGCTGAGAGCTTATTTTCAGTCTCATCAGATTGTTGTTTATACTGATTTCCCGCTAAGGAAAATATTGCAAAAGCCAGAACTCTCTGGTCGGCTCATCGGATGGAGTGTCGAGCTGAGTGAGAATGACCTCAAACTTCAGCCGCGCACAACTATAAAAGGCCAAGCTGTGGCAGACTTCTTGGTTGAATGTGCTCCGGCGGCTGTGAAAGAAAAGGCACCTGAACACCCAATTTGGGTTTTGTATGTAGATGGAGCTGCTAATGTCGAAGGATCGAGTGTTGGAGCTGTGTTACTGGGCCTTGATGGCTTTAAATCCGAGCATGCGTTGAGGTTTAAGTTCCAAACAACCAATAATGCTGCAGAGTATGAAGCCCTCATTTATGGATTGAAGCTGGCATCCGAGCTGAAGGTACAGAACATCCAAGTCTTCAGTGACTCTCAGCTCGTGGTAGGCCAGGTAAAAGGCAGCTGTGAAATCAGGGATCCTCAGCTTGGTCGTTATACTTCTGTGGTCAACAAATTGAAGTCAGGATTTGCCTCCTTCCAAATCGACAAAATACCAAGAGCAGACAACCACCGAGCTGACGAGCTGTCAAAGTTGGCCTCCTCGTGGGACTTTAACCCTCAAAGGTCAACCATCGTCGAACTGTTGGACGCCCCGAGCTACACTGATCTCGCGGTCGAGTGTCAACTGCTAAGCACGGATCCCTCTACACCGAGATGGACTACCCCACTTATAAATTATCTGCAAAGTGGCGAGCTGCCTAAAGATCTATCCGCCGTGAAAATGATTAAACGAAGGGCAGCACATTTCACTTTGTTAGATAACCAGCTCTACAAGCGAGCAGCCTCAATGCCCCTATTACGTTGCCTTACTCCTTACGAAGTTGAATACGCTGTGAGAGAAGTTCACAAAGGAGTATGTGGCACGCACATCGATGGCAAAACTTTAGCTTGGAAACTCTTGAGGCATGGGTATTACTGGCCCACTATGGTCGAGGACGCGCAGAGTTATGTCCTAAAATGTCTAACCTGCCAGTTCAATGCTGATGATATACACATGCCAGGTATCTGAGCCTATTCTAAAGAACATGCAAACTCCGTGTTTGTCTATAAACTAAGCATAAGTATCTTCCTTGAAACAGGGGAAATGCTATCATCTCTCACGTCTCCCTGGCCCTTTGCTCAATGGGGTGTCGACCTGTTCGGCCCTTTTATCAATGGCAAAGGAGGCTACACTTTCCTGGTCGTTGCAGTGGATTACTTCACTAAGTGGATAGAAGCTAAATCGCTGTCCACGACAACAGAAAGAAAAATAGAAGAATTCTTGTTCGATTCAATATTGTGCAGGTATTCTTCGGTGACTGAGATCATAAAATATATGCAACTGTGATTTGTAGCTCAACTCGCTCATCTGTGTACAGGTTTGGCATCCCTAAGCGGATTATCGCTGACAATGGGCCACAGTTCCGAGCAGCAGCGTTGAGATCGTTCTGTAACGATTATGGCATTGAGCTCGCCTTGACATCCGTGTATACTACACAGTCTAACAGGCAAGCCGAGTCCGCCAATAAAATCGTCTTGCGAGGCCTCAAGACTCGTGTTTTAGCTGCACATTCTAATTCGGTTGACTAGTCTTGTCGTACTACACCCAGCTCGGCCACGGGTGAAACCCCTTTCAACTTGGCCTATGGAGCTGAGGCCGTCATCCCAGTAGAGGTGGGACTACCATCTGATCGAGCAGGCTGGCATGACGATCTCAACAATGAGCAACTGTTGAGAGAAAACCTAGACTTCGTGGAAGAGGTAAGGGAGATGTCTAGAATAAGAAACATGGCGCATCAAAGTCGTGTTGCAAAATTTTACAATAAAAGAGTTCGAACTCGCCAGTTTCAAGTCAGTGATCTGGTTCTACGCAAAACTGGATTGACGAATGCTTACTCGCACATGGGCAAGCTCGCGCCTAATTGGGAAGGACCTTATATGGTCATTTCTATTCAACGACCTGGGTCTTACCGGTTAGCAGATTTACAAGGTCGTCCATTACCATTCATTTGGAACATACATAACCTTAGAAAATTTTACAGTTAAGAGTTAACTTTACAGTTAAGAGTTAACTTTACAGTTAATGTGTATGTTATTAACGTTCAGTCCGTCATGGATCAGTTGTAAATGGCATTTCATAAAGAAATCAAAACACAGAAAGTTCAAAAAAGGAAATTCAATTTGTATTTCATCAATGACCATTTACAGTTGAAGTACATGACATATAATGTCATTGATCAATACAAGTAATCAAAAGAAAATACAAAGGAACAAAAGAAAAAAGTCCTAAGCCTAGTCATCCGTCAGATCGATGGGCATGGATGCATCAGCAGCAGCAGCCGCAGGAGAGCTAGCTGGAGGAGACCGGGCGGCTGGCTCAGAGGTGCGCTGACGGGCGAGATGGCTGGCACCACAGCGGGCTGAGAGTTGGGCGGGGTGCTTGAAGGCTCCTGCTTAACTACAGGAGCACCCTCTACCCATGCGTCAAAGGAGGGCAGCCCTGTTGGATCCTCCCCGTCCTCAAGGACCTAAGGAGGCCAAACAGGCACTCCCTCCTCGTTGAGGTCCCACCTCAACCGCACCGTGGCGTCGACAAGGGGAGCAAGACTCTTTCCCTGCTCGTCCAGGTCCTCCCCGTTAAAGAACGCCAGCTCACCAATCGGGAAGTCCGGGAGGTGTTGCAGCACTTTCCCACGGATCTCGTTGTAGATCTCCGTGGTTACATTTGCTGACGCCACCGCCACAGCGTCTTGAAACGCAGCCGAACCCACGAACCATTCCGCGCCTTGAGCTCGGGCGATGCTAACAGAGCGTGCATGGGAAGTCTTCAGCTTGTTCAGCGCCTCCCCGGCAGCAGTAAGGTTCGGGTCGGCCTCGGCGACCTGGTGCCTAAGGGAGCTCAGCTCGTGCTGAGCAAGGTCCCTGTCGGCCTCAGCCTTCTTGGCCCGTTCTTCAACCCGGGCGGCTTCCTCCTTAGCTGCCTGGATCCCGCTCTCTCTCTCAGCACGGGCGCGCTCCAACTCCTCCCTCAGCTCGTTGTTTCTGTTGGTGAGCTCATCCGCCTGGCTCTCTGCAGCCGCAGCCCGGTTCGCCATTTTAGAGCCTTGCAGACAATTCACATCGTCCACAAGACTAGCCTTCTCAGCAGCCAGCTGTTTGCATTTTGAACCGAGCTCGCCGTTTTGCGTACGAGCCTCCTGCTCGCTCTCGTAGAGCGCTACAGCGTAACTGAATGCCTGCCAAATAGCAACAATCGTAAGTACCTAGTAAGGAAAAATAAAACATTTAAGCAAGCACGAGCAAATACTTACATCCATCAGTTTGATCATAGCGACCTGGCCGCCATGCTGCTGCATAAAAGCTTTTGCCAGCAGACTATCCGACGGGGGCACAAAGCTGTGCATGGCTTGCACCATGGCGGGCTGGCACTCCGCCCGCACATAGCTGAAGCCTTTAGGATAAGCAATCTTGGGGCCCGACATCAAAGCCGAGGCATAGGCGGGCTCTACTGCTACCCGCGTAGTCGCTGACGGCGCGGTGGGTGAACGCACGATTGCAGGACGGGCCGCTTGCACGGGCTGAGTCCCCCCGCTTGTTCTGCGCCGAGCAAGGGGGACTTCATCTTCCTCGCTCTCCGTCTCTTCACGTGCACGTCTACGTGCACTTGGGGCTGCAGCCTCAGCTCTGTGTTCAGCCCGCGGCCTAGATGCCGAGCTGGACCCTCGATGGGACGAGTTGCACGATTGAGGCGCAGCTGGCGATCGCTCGTCGAACTGCGTTTGTCTTTGTGAGGTGCTACCCGGCCCGCGACCTCATGAGCTCTGTGCTCGTTGACGTTGGCGTTCGAGAATGCTGCTCATCTCTCTTGCACAAACAAATATATAAGACTCAGCCCGGCTAATATTCAAGATAGATCATAAAAATATACCTTCTGTGAACAGGTTTGCCACGTCGACAAACCCGAACACGGCGAGCTGCTCCAAGGTAACCAGGGCATCTAAATCTATTAGATTCTCCCTCCTCGCATAGTCCAGCAGCTGATTTTTGAGGTCTGTGTCCCGTGGCAGTAATTGAGGGTAGTTGACGTGTGATTGGGCACACGCCACTCAGAAAGCCGGGCAGCGAGGTCGTTACTTAGCCTCTCTGTTCACGTGTCGCGAATAAATATGAATTGCCTCTTCCACCTCGCCACTTTGTTCCGGACATTCTTGAACAACTGGCTCTTGTCTCTCCCGGAGAGGTAGTACCAATTTGCCCTCGGGAGTTGGGACACAGCCGGCATTGAAACAGCGACCTGAACACGATCGCCTTGGCCGGTACCTCTAATCGCGCACATAATAGCATAAAGCCAATAATGAACCTTATGCTGTTGGGCGTCAGCTGCGTCAGCGCCAGCTCATAATCCGCCAGCAGGTCGAACACCAATCCGGGCAGGGGAAACCGCAGGCCGGCGTCAAAATGGTCCGCATACACTGGAATCCAGCCCGTCTGTGACACCGTGCAAGCCCTCTCATTTGGTGCGCCTGTTCGTAACAGTATTGTCTGGGGAATGTGGTACGCCCTCACCATATCCTCCAATCTTCTGTACCCGCTAATTGAGGGCGCACAATCTGCTACTTCGTGATGAAGGGTGGCCTGGAACCTAAATCCAGCGGGCAGGTCCTTGGGCGCCTTTCGCAGGTTGCCCAACCTGCCCGTGATTATCTTGCTTTCCCACTCTCCAATCATGGGCCGATCTGAGACATGGCTAACCACATCCCCCATCCCTTCCTCATGGCTAGGTGTCTCTTCTGAGGACGAGCTGCTGGGCGATGCAGCGGGGTGATCGCCACCGTCGTCCTTAGCGCTTGAACTGGCGCTTCTCTCAGGCGCCATTGTTTCCGGCAAGTCCTGCAACTCAGGCGGCACTATCATCGTGATAGGCTCCACTGATAAAACCCCCTCCTCTTCTCCATCTCTGCCCTGGTTACCTCGTAGCTTTGATATTTCTCTCAACGAAACCATTTTACCTGAAAATGACGTGAAGTTGGTTCGGTGTTCTGTTCTTCAAGATTGGAGTGCCTCGCTTCAGAGAGTTTCAGAAGGTTTCAAGCAAACGCAGAAGTGAAAATGGAAAAGGAAACAGTTACGCAAAGGGAAATATGGCAGTCTTAATGGCTGTACGCGTGTTTCTGACGCGCCAATTCGCGTCTTACACGTGGCACACGCTTAACGCCCCTTCTGCATAGCGTGCGCCGGCTTTAGCTGACATGTCCCTCAAATGCTGAGCCAGCATTTATGACGGGGAAGACAGAGGGATACGGGGAGATCAACCGTATCTCCTCAGAGATTTGGTGGATTTTCAAAATCTACAAGATTCAGATCGAAACGGCTGATATGTAATCTATCCCGTCACATCAGCTCGCCGTTACGAGCACACTTACCAGGTCGTCACAAATATGACGTATTTGCCAGGTCGGCTTACCCGTGACAATTCATTCACAATTGTAGATCGTTTACTAAAATCCCCCAAGATTCAGCTCGTCACAGATCATGGCGGCGACCGCATTTATCAGGTCGTCACACGGGTTGCAGCTCATGACGGGTCACAAGACCTGTTCACAGACCAAGGCGTACTTGAGGTCGCCCTATTTAACAGCACCACCCGTGTTGCCTCAAAAATCTCAGGTCGCACTGCGGGCGAGGCCGCGTTGCCTCAGCTCGCGATCATGGCAACAGAGCATCATCTGGTCGCACTTCGAAAATAATCAAGGGGCAAGTCACCATATGCCCTCCGGCGCTCACGTTAACGCGGACGAGCTCGCTGGAAATGGTGTTATGTACATGGCCGCTCTCTGTACGAGCTCATCTGTGGTGAACCATTTCAGCTTGCCACCATAACAAGCCCACACTGGTGTGGCTATCCATTTCAGCTCGCCTCCACATTTTCAGGCTCGCGAGCTCGCCTCTTTTCGTATTACCTTTCAGCTCGGCCATCATCGAGGTCGGCCGTAAGCTGTTAAGGCTGTCCGTCATAGTCACCAGCTAGAACGTTGGCCCACAGCCACATGCATCCTAGTTCGTCAACTGAACACCGGGGGGGGGGAGGAGTAATGTTGGAATAGGCCCAACATCCAAACAGGGCTATGCATAACGGGCCTAGGTTACCACCCATTAGCCCAAGCTGAAGGAGCATCAATACAAGCATACCCACGTGACCAGCTCCACGTGGGCCAATGGGGTGCTCACACATGCAGGTGTATGTCAGCACCAAGGGGCTATAAATACCCCCCAACTACCTCTGATGAAGGTAATTAATCTCTACGCTTCTCTCTCTGCAATTACTCCTTGAGAGCATCCCTCTCTAGAATATTGAGTATTGCTGACTTGAGCGTTGAAGTGTTTTCCCTGGGGAAACAACCCCGAGATTTTCAGGTGTAGAAGCAGCAGAGGACTTCAACAGTGTTGGATTGCGAAGCTGCCCAAACAACTTCCAAACAAACTAAACCTCGTAGAATGGGTCTATCCTAATAGTACACAGAACAATAACAGATATTATGGGTCCTAATATGCACCTAATTTATGCCTAACAGAGAAAAGTAGGTACATGTCACAATTAGGTAACGATATAATCTTTGAGGCCCATTTCTATATTCTAACAAGCACTTTGTTAGATGTATTAGACCACAAAGCAATATCATAAATGCTAAGAAATACCGAGATCAGTAAATAATTAAAATGGTATTTTTGAGTTCTGCGTGCTTTATAGCTTGAAACGCATAAGGCTTAAACTGCTACACTCCCACTACAAATATAGTAGAGAAATGACATCTCTAAACAGTAGAATCAAGATAACCTATCCAAATGAAATGGTAACTGGAGATCAGAAGTGCTAAATGTAAGAGATTTTGAGTATACAAATTTGCAAGTCAAATTTCTATCTACTTTCATGGAATATTGCGTTGCGTGTATGGTTTCCAACCATGAGAGGTAGAAAACAAGGTGATAATAGCAAATTCTTACATTTCCACTCATGTTTTTGAGAAATTAATCTTTTCTCTTTAACTATAGGTGGTAAGTGCAAAACATACAAAAAGCAAAGTATTACAAATGATGTCAGAGCTTGAGCGTTTTGGTGACATTTTTGTCTAGCGCTTGCAATTTTATGTAAAGAGTTAAAAATATTCCATATGACATCTTTTTTGAAGTATAGCACTCTAGATAACAAGAATTCAACGAAGGGTAGATGGTTCCCAATTGTCTGATTTGCATTGCTTTTAACAACAACAAACATTCTGATTAAAAACTTGAAATGCACTTACATCATATAGAAATATAAAAGAAACAGGCTACTGTAGCATATTCTCCTGTTTTCAGACCTAAAGCAACAGCAGATATGCTAGAAATGGAAACATTGATTAAACATAGCAAACTTCGACTAGTTAACTTCCAACTGAAGGAGATAAGTTGGGATAGGTTATGGCTCCCTTTTAGTTTCTACTTGCAAGCTTAATAATCCTCCTCTTCATCTGCAGTTCAAATGACAGTAAAGAATATGACTGTCTTGATAATATTGTTGGGAGAAAGTCCAACCCCATGTGAACATGTGTACTTTCCATGTGGTGAAATTTCTTCACCAACCTAGTTAGTTGTGGGCTAGTATTTGCTTTGTTGAAATCAAGTAAGATTGCATGTTGACCCATTTAATGAACAAAGAAAATCATGGATGGGTGGTAATGAGGTAGAGAAAAATGGTGCATGGGTGGTTGGATTTTTCAACATAAATATCCATGCATGCAAAGGCAATGTGCAAGCAAGAGTGAGTGCAAGCAAGAGTGGGGGAAAGCAAGAGAAATTGAGTGAGAGCTCTTGTGAGAGAAAAGAAAGAAAGAAATTGTGAGAAAATCCTTGTATAGATTAAGAGAGAGCATTAGAGAGAATTTAAGAGTTTCTATATATTGAAGTTAGGGTGTTGAGAACTTCTAAATTATTATACTTTTTTTCTTAATAATGAATTTATTTATTTCTTTCCCGTAAACGTAGACTTGTTGGAAGGTGTATAAATCGAATAATGTTAAGTTGTTGTCTCAATTTCTTTATCGCTTTTGTTTGCGTGAGATTGTGGTGCTCGAAATTCCCAACAAATATTGAGAAGATAAAGGTATAAGTAAAGGCAAAATTTAAGTTCTAGAACCTAGTAAGATGTTATAAAAAGATGAAGACAAACCAAAACAAGAAACAAAAGCATGAATCCATCAATTTTTATCCTTTTATATCATTAAGATGATTAAAAATTTTGCATGTCTTAGAAAAAGGCTAGAGTCTAGAGTCAATCATTTACTGGAAAAATAGAGATTTTGTTAACACCATTAATAAAATACCTGCACCATAGTCTCAAATTTCCTTCTCAGACGAGTAAATTCATTCTTAGTCCAATACAGAGTTTGACAGCACCTGAAGCAATATTTTTGTAGACCAAAGTGAGCAGAAGTCAGAGTTCAAAGATATACATGAACATCTAATTGAAAAAGAAAATGAAAATGGAAAGAAAAGACTCCATGCTTTGCTATATAACATTGATATAGAGATGCTAGAACAAAAAACAGCAAAAGAAATACTTATAATAACATGAATCTCTTACTCCCGAGAAAGGGAAATGATAAGTACAAATGATAGTGAATAACAAGATTGATGAAAGTATGAAAATGTATATTTAAAATGTGCTTAACCATTGATATTTGTAGAATTATGGGTTTAAGAGTTGTATTTTTTTATAAATAATTTTATAATTGTTCAATTTATTCATATTGTGCAAATTTGTGGTGATTGAAGGTTTGATATTAAATGGAGAGAATTAGAAGAAAATGACTTGAAGGCAAAGACCTAGAAAGATGAGGATCCAAGAATTAAATTTGAAAGTTGAAGGCCCAAGTTGGATTTTCTCTATTTTTTATTAAGAGCAAAATCCGCGAAGTTGCTATGACCCGCGCAAAAGGATTTCCAGTAACAGCAGGGGTTCCGCTACAACCCCTGTCCGATGAACAGTGCATAAAGAAAGAAAGAAAGAAAAAAAATTCTCAGGACTGCTATTCTAATTATCAAAAACTCTTATTTTGTTTCCATTGGAGTCTTTAAAATTAGGCTTATCATCTTGAGAAACAATTTCTAAGCATATATTTTTTTCTTTTCTAGTGTTAGAGAATTATGTCAAAGTATAGATAAACTTTCAACAAGACTAGAAAGGGTTTTAATTGAGAAATTTGACTTATTATTTTATTTTAATTTTTTCATAGATTTTATAATTTTATTTTTGAGAGATTATTAATTATTTTTATATTAGAAAACCCTAAAAATTATATCCATCAAATTTCATATAAGATTAGTCATACTCTTTTTATCTGTAATTTGTTAGAATATAATTAATTGGTATATTTATTTTGCAAGTTGATCCTTTACTACAATATTGTTGATTGGATATTGTCGCTCTCAGATAACTCATAATGATAGATCAATTTGTTTTTCATTGAAATTAATTTCTCTCAAAATAAATACATTAGTTATTATTATTGGTCTTTAAAATTAAATCTCTCGATTGTTTGTTTGGGATGTGAAACATGCAATTGAGTAATAAATAATAATCAAAATTTATAACAGTTTAACAAATCAATTAAATGAACCCTGAACCATTGTTTATCATAATATTGTTTTTAATTCTCTATAATTATCATCTTTTATTGAAATATTTTTATTCTTAATTTTAGAAATCATCTTTTAATTTAGTTTCTCATAGTAACAACTCTTTTTGTTGATTTAATATAGCGT